CAAAAAAAAAAAAAAAAAAAAAAAGCCACATAAAACAGAGCTAATTTTTTAGAAATGCAGTGTCAATAGGGTGTGTGTGTGGGGGAATACCACAAGAAAAAGAGCGGGTGTGGTGTATGAGCTTCTGCTCACCCTGCTTTAAAACTGGTTTCTGAGGGGGGGGGGGGGCGCTTCTAGGGTTGCCAAGTAGAACTTACCTTGGCGGCGGGGGACTCCTGGGTGGATCCCGGAGCGCGCGCGCCGCACACACATCACCAAGAAGTGACGTTATGACGCCAGGCACACTGGGGGTGGGGCCCTGCCCCCAGCGTGCCCAGCGTGCCAGTGTCACTTCCGGGTGACGCGCACGTCGGGGAGGAGTTCCCCCCGGGGCCTGATCCGCTGGTGCCGGGGAACGGGCCTCTGGGGCGGAGGTTTCCCCGCCCCCCGGCGGGACTTGGGATCTCTAGCTGCTTCCCTGTGCAGAATTCCTATCCTGAAGAGTGTAAAAAGATGGAAAATTGATAACTAGTTAAAGCAAAAAGAAGTCTTGGTTGCCAGGGGTGGATTAAGACATGATGAGGCCCTAAACTAGGCCAAGTTTAAGAGGACCCACAGTATTACCTAAATGGTAATTCTGATTCATTATTTTTTGTAGTAGAATCACAGAGTTGGAAGGGGCCATACGTGGAAGTAGTGACAGACTTCACATTCCTGGGATCCCAGATCACTGCAGACTGTGACAGCAGCCATGAAATTAAAAGACGCCTGCTCCTTGGGAGGAAAGCGATGGTGAACCTAAACAGCATGATAAAAAGTAGAGACATCACCCTGCCAACAAAAGTCCACATGGTCAAAGCAATGGTATTCCCAGTAGTCATGTATGGCTGCGAGAGTTGGACTATAAGGAAGGCCGAGCGCCGAAGAATAGATTCTTTTGAACTATGGTGCTGGAGAAGACTCTTGAGTGTCCCCTGGACTGCAAGAAGATCAAATCAGTCAATCCTAAAAGAAATCAACCCTGACTGTTCCCTGGAAGGCCAGATAATGAAACTGAAGCTCAAATACTTTGGCCACCAAATGAGAAGGGAACACTCACTGGAGAAGACCCTGATGCTGGGAAAGACTGAAGGTCAAAGAAGACGGGGACGGCAAAGGATGAGATGGATAGACAGTGTCATCGATGCAACGAACATGAAATTGAGCAAACGTCAGAGGACGGTGGAAGACAGGAAGGCCTGGCGTGATTTGGTCCATGGGGTCGCAAAGAGTCGGACTTGACTGTGCGACTGAACAACAACAACAATACAGGCCATCTAGTCCAACCCCCTGGTCAGTGCAGGATCAGCCTAGAGCATCCCTGACAAGTGTTTGTCCAGCCATCGCTTAAAGACTGCCAGTTGGGGAGCTCACCGCCTCCCTAGGCAACTGATTCTACTGTTGCACAACTCTAACTGTAAAAAAGTTTCTCCTAATATCCAGCCAGTACCTTCCCGCCCTTAATTTAAATCCATTATTTTGAGTCCCATCCTCTGCTGCCAACAGGAACAGCTCCCTGCCCTCCTCTAAGTGACAGCTCTTCAAATAATGACCCCCCCCACCTCCTCTTCTCTAGACTGAACATTCCCAAGTCCCTCAGCCTTTCCTCATAGGGCTTGGTCTCCAGGTCATCCTCGTTGCTCTCCTCTGCACCTGCTCCATTCTGTCCACACTCCAGTTGCAGCCTGACCAATACAGTGTGAGGCTATGACATCTTGTGATTTGGATGTTATACTTCTGTTGATACACCCCAAGATTGTATTAGCCTTTTCTGTCGCCGCATCACACTGGCTGCTCATATTTAACTTTCAGTCCACCCTTACCACAAGATCTTGTTTACATACACTGCTACTCAGAAGTGTATCCCCTATCCAGTATGTGTGCTCCTCATTTTTGTTACACAGATGTAAAACTCGGCACTTATCTTGTTAAATTGCATCTTATTCACATCCACCCACTTTTCCAGCATGTTCAAATCTTGTTGAATTCTATCTATATCTTCTGGTGTGTTCGCTGCAAATTTAATGAGTAGCCCCTCCACACCCTCATCCAGATCATTTATAAAAATACTGAAAAGTACTGGCCCCAGAACGGAGCCCTGTGGCACCCCACTGGACACCTCCCTCCATTCAGATGAAATGCCATTGACAACTACTCTCTGACTGTGGTTCTCCATCCAGTTCCCTATCCACCTAACTATCCTAGAGTCCAGTCCACAGTCCTTTAACTTGTTCATTAATGATTTGGAGTTGGGAGTAAGCAGTGAAGTGGCTAAATTTGCGGATGATACGAAGTTGTTCAGGGTGGTGAAAACCAGTGAGGATTGTGAGGCACTCCAAAGGGATCTGTCAAAGATGGACAAGTGGGTGTCAACATGGCAAATGGGGTTCAATGTGGCCAAGTGCAAGGTGATGCACATTGGAGCCAAAAATCCTAAATATAAATACACATTGATGGGGTCTGAACTGGCAGAGACAGATCAAGAGAGAGATCTTGGAGTTGTAGTAGATAACTCACTGAAAATGTCGAGACAGTGTGTGACTGCAATAAAGAAGGCCAATGCTATGCTGGGGATTATTAGGAAGGGTATTGAAAACAGATCAGCCAATATAATAATGCCCCTATATAAATCAATGGTGAGACCTCATTTGGAATACTGTGTGCAGTTCTGGTCACCACACCTTAAAAAGGATATTATAGCTTTGGAAAAAGTGCAGAAAAGGGCAACTCGAATGATAAAAGGGTTGGAACACTTTCCCTATGAGAAAGGTTAAAGCGCTTAGGGCTCTTTAGCTTGGAGAAAAGACAACTGAGGGGTGACATGATTGAGGTTTACAAGATTATGCATGGGATAGAGCAGGTAGAGAAAGAGGTACTTTTCTCCTTTTCTCACAATACAGGAACTCGTGGGCACTCCATGAAATTGCTGAGCAGTCGGGTTAGAACGGATAAAAGGAAGTACTTCTTCACCCAAAGAGTGATTAACACATGGAATTCACTGCCACAGGAAGTGGTGGCGGCTACAAGCATGGACGGCTTCAAAAGGGAATTAGATAGGCATATGGAGCAGAGGTCCATCAGTGGCTATTAGCCACAAGGTATAGATAGGGGCTCTGGGGCAAGTGATGCTCTGTCTTCTTGGTGCTTGGGAGGGCGTCAACAGTGGGAGGGCTTCTAATGTCCTGGCCCCACTTGTGGACCTCCTGATGGCACCTGGTATTTTTGGCCACTGTGTGACAGAGTGTTGGACTAGATGGGCCTTTGGCCTGATCCAACATTGCCGTCTCTTATGTTCTTATGTTCTTACCCACCAGAACATTATGGGGAACCCTGTCGAACGCTTTACTGAAATCCAGGTAAACACCATCAACAGCATTTCCTTGATCCAGTAAGCTTGTCACTCAATCAGAGAAGGAAATAAGAGAATCC